TGGGTAATCTTTTAGAAGAGAATTTGCAGGAGGGATTTAAAATGGCTTAATATACTGAATCTGTAATTTTGATTGACTGATAAATTGACTTTTGAATTAGAACATTGATGAGGGATTGTTTGAAGGAGGGAGACAACATGGATATCACATGCATATCAAGGGATGACAGGATGCCACATTCAATATTTTCTCCTGAAGGACTTAGCCTGGAAAATCAAGGGCCTCCAGAAGCAATACTTCAAGGCATGATAAATACTTTCCCGGAGGAAATATATGTAATGTTAGGACAAATACAAATGACAATAGATTCAAATCACGATGAAATTCGAAACAATCTTGAGGATTTAAATAAGCATATTTCCAATCTAAATCTACAATTAAAAAATACCTAGGAAATAACAACAAAAGAACAAACAAATCAGTCAGCAGATTACAAACTAGAAGAGTATGATCAAATTGATGAAATAAAAAAGGAAAAGAAATACAATTTGACACAAACAGGAAAAAATCTACAAGGTTCTGATACAACAATAAAAATGAAATTATTAGGAAAACTATTAAAGTTTGGGGGAAAGAAAGAATTTGTCTTGCTTGCTTCATCTTTTGTATTCCCAACAACATTTGTAAAAATACAGGAACTGTTGGGTAAGCGGATTACATCAACTTGGAAAATTACTTGGCAAAAGAAGAAGATCAGAGACAGATACAAGAGATTTGACTCGTTCTACCAGATGGACTATTACGTGAATAAACATTTGTTTGAATATGGCTAAAAGAACAGAGAATTTTGAACATAAAGGGGCCTTATAACAAGACAGATAATGAGATTTAAGTAGTATAGTATGTTTTATAACATATTAAATGTTAAAATAGGTTGATGTAACTTTTATTTATATATAAGTAAAATATAAACTGATTAAAAAGGATGTTATATCTAGATACTATAAGACAGATAAAAAGTATAGTATTTTTATAATGCATAACATAAAATATTGGGATGATGTACCTAAATGGGAAAATTTAGACATGAGATGACTAATATGAAGAAATTATGACTGATAAGAATTGGATTGAATATAAGGGAATCTAAGTGAACAAAAATTATAAAAATAGGATGTATGCTGAATTAATGAGATGATGGTTATGAGAATAATATAAGCTGAAAAAAAGTTATATAGAGAGATTATTATTATTTGTATAAATATTAAAAATGCCTATACCTAATCATTTATATATTGAAAATATTAAATTATATTTTGGCTAAGGTTGAAGAAGAAAAATACAAATGGGAGAAGGGAAGATCAAAGAAATGTATTATTAATATATTAATTATGGAATTATCAAATTTAATCATTATTGACTGTTAATTAATTATTACTGTCCTTTTTTTCTTGTTAAAATATAAACCAAGACAACACGCTGTACATCAGGCACTGAAGATTGTTATAGTTAAAAACCAATAAAATATCTATAAAAAAAGATAATGAAAATTTAGAAATATCCTCAGTAAGTGAGAGATTATCTTCAGCAGATTATTTTTTAAAAATTTTCCAATGACCATTTTTTCCTACATGCATTCTGTTCATAGTATCAAACTGATCTTTCATAGTAAATCATGTATGTATTCACTTACTTCTTTCATGCCTCTGTGAGCAACAAAATTATTATTACTGTTAAGTTAGGATATTAGAAGAACATACCATTTACCACTACAATATAAAGAATTATTATCTCCCTGTGACCACATTGTCTAACAACTATCACAAATGCATTCACTCATAGTTAGGGGGTCCAACTGCAAATCATGATAACAAGATAAAAAAGGAGATCCTTTTCTGCTGGAAATGTAGATATTCACTGTGGTATATTTGATTCCATATTTGGCTTCGTGATAAAAAAAGAATGCACATATTCCCAACGGCATCATGCAATTTTTCCTAAAATATATAATTTGTACAAGAATAATATAACATTTTAGCACCTATTCAAAAATTAAATGTTATTTAGTCTGTATATAAATTTATGAACACCAGCTGGATCTCAATTACACAGGTGAAGGGAATACAGATTAGAATTTGACTTCCAACGTTTTTTTTTTAAATGCACCATTATTTATTAAATTTAGTTGCCGCCCATCTTGTAACAAAACAACTCTGTGAGGCTTATATGTTAAATGTTAAAATTCTAACAAATATTTCTAAAACAATAAAAATGAAAATCCAAATCAAGGTAAAATTATAGTTAAAAGAAGGGAAGAGAAGGACTGGATGTGTGGGGACATGATGGGATTGTCTTTTAATTCATCAAGCACCTCTGGTGTGATGTTCCCCATTCGGGCTCCAAGTCATCTTAGAGAGCCAGGTCTTCAGGCCCTTAATGGAAGTCAGAAGGGTGGGAACCAATTTCGCCTTAGGGTATAAAATGTTCCTAAAGGCAGGAGCCACATCAGAGAAGGCCTTCAACCGGAATTCCTTGACCAACAGGGCCCTGCAGCATGCCTCCTCTGAAGGCATAGGTAGTCTGGGCCAGTCCCAGTGGTGTGAGATGGTTTGTCAAGTAACCTGGACTTCTGCCATGCACGGCTTTAAGGATAGTAATCAACACTTGAGTTGCATCAAGAAGCAGACCTGCAGCCAATGCAGCTGGTGGAGCTTTAATGTAACATGGGTGATCCTAGGAAGCCCAAGAACTTCCCACGATGTTACACGCTACATCAGTTGAAGCTTCTGAATACTCTTCAAGGGTAGCACAATGTAGAGTGAAATATTTGTTTATTTAAAAAAAATCTGAAGAGGGTTAAGAAATAGTGCAAACAAATAGGAAGGATTAATATTTTGGTGTTTAATAGTTATTAAATAGAGAAAGAACTATTCTCAAAATGATTATATTTTTTAAAAAATTAAAAATATTTTGCTGAATGCTAAATTCAGATTCAGTTAATTCCAATTAATTCACTGTTTCACTTTTCTGTTTCATTTCAGTCAATTCAGCACGATATTCATATGGTTGATTATGAATAGTCAGGTTTTCTGTTTCTTATATTAAATTATGTACTGAAAATAAACAAACCTTTTTGAAGCTAGATTCATATTCAAAATTGTATTCCAAGTGTTATCATTTTTGAGGTTTAGCTTTTGGAAATTAAGTCTTAACAATTTGTTAAATAAGATAGCACTGAAAAATCACTTGCGGGGTTAAATTATTTTATTATTGTTATATTTATTACTGAAATTAAAATTTGTTGATTACTGTTCAATCTCCAGCCATTTGGCCTAATTCTGTTCATACTTAACTTTCACATCATGAATTATGTTCATGGATCAATGTTGACATTATACAAAGTTTTCCAAAAGCTATAAATAGCATAATAAGGTTACTTTCAACATGTTAACATCTGAACAACCATAATTAACCAACTAAGTTCAGCATTTCCCTAATAGTTTCTCTGTTTTGTTTGCTGATATTTTGTTAGCTCTTTCCACTTCATAAAGTCTTGAAGATTGGGCTTCATATGTTTTGCAACTTAAATGATAAAATGCTGAAAACATAAAACCCACTAGCATAATTTAAAGAATATTAGTTATGCACAGTTAAGCACTTAAACCTTGCAGACGCTCCTGGGCCTTACTTAAGCCTTTGGTTATTTGCAGTGCAAGGAAGTTCAACCTTGAGGTTTTCTATTCATTTTCTTTGCCCAGGCAATTTCCTTACCAAATCAGTATTGGAGAGAAGGTTGATGAATGCATAAATGCAAGAAAATGTTCCTGTCGAAGAATAAATGGAACAGGCATCTCAAACAAACATCCATTTATTGGAGCCAGGCTCTCTAGAAAGAATCAGGGATTCTTTGCAGGGGATGTGGGAGAACATATTCCCTAAAATAGAGATTCTAATCTATAAAGTTATACAAAGCAAGAAAATTATTTTTTGTGTATATATAAGTGCATTACAAAAGCTAACTTGCATTTTTTAGAAATCCAGGATGTTCTACTGTCACTTTAAAGGGGTAGATACGCATCTTGCTTGCATGTTCCGTTGATTTCAAATTGAATTTGATCATAAAACTCATCAACCTCCTCTTCTGTATCAGCAATTGGAACATAAATCTGAAGGATCATCATATTTCCATGAAATCTAATCAATATTATTCGCTCAGTGATTGCATTGTAGCCAAATGCTATTCTTGGTATACCCTTCTTAACCAAAAAAGCAACATAATCTCTTCGATGTTTTTCAAATCCTGAGTAATAAACAATGTAACCTTTTGTCTAATTCCAGTACATCTCAATTCATTGATGCCTAAAATGTCAATTTGTAGTGGTTTCATTTCATCTTTCAGGGTGTTGAGCTTTCCCATGTTCATGCTTTTTAATGTTCCTGCTTTAATTCTACCTTTGTAGCTTTAGTTTTTCTTTTCCTGTATGACAATATTAGCAACTAGACATTCCAAAGGCTTTAATCTAGCTGTGTCTTAAACTCTATTAGTTTTCTGAAAGATCTTCTGTTCTTTCTCAGTAGCATGTTGAGTGCCATCCGAGCTGAGGGGCCCATTCTCCTTTCATAACAACATCAGTCATTGTATATTTTCTATTCATGTGGCTTTCTTGGTAAAAATACATTAGTGATTTACCAGTGCTTTCTTTTTCACAGTATGAATTGATGCCTTTGCCACTGTCACTAAGGTGATTATCTGCCTCTGGTATCTTTCTAGACCTCTGCTGCCCAATATAGCTGGTTGCTTGCTTTAGCTGGGCAGCTGGGAAGAGCTTCATGCTCTGGGGGACCCTGGGAAGATATACTTTTGGCATACACTTCCAACACCATGACCTTGCCTTGGTGAGGAAACACAGCAGGTTTGGCAGGGGGGGGGGGACGACAGGATGACAAAAATATGCATATGCTTATTTATATACCAACATTAATCTTAATATTTACTGTAAAATAAATACTTGCAAATGAAATATATGTTAAAATAAATTATTGTATTTGTTTTTCATTAGGGATTGCTTGTACGGGATGCACCTTTGAAGGACATGAAAATTTTTAATGATCGTCGATTTGTAGCTTCTTTTAGTGTGGTGAATGCTACCAAACGGGATGCTGGCAATTACCGCTGCATGATTCGCACAGAAGGAGGAGTTGGAGTATCAAATTATGCAGAACTAATCATTAAAGGTATTTCAAAATTGATATGCAAATGAAAAGGATAGAGACCAAATCCCTGAAATTTTTTCATGTTAAACAAATTCTTTCCATTGGTGATGTTGCAATCGATTTAATTAAAATGACCAACTCCAGGCATGATGCTAATATAAGATGATAGTAGAGGTTTATCGGTTGTGATTATCAATTTGCATATACTTTACTGTGCAGATTGTGCCTACTCTGCATATTAATGCAGAGTAAGGAATGAGGGCCCAACTGATTTATACAAAATGTTCTACAGATTGTATAATGCAACAAAGAATGTGGCTCAGAAAATTGATATATTAATCGTAAGGTACTTGTGTTTTAGGCAGACAAAAATGAATTAATGATATACATCAAAAGGGAAGGTTTAGAGCAGTGGCTCCCGACCTTTTCTATACCCCACACCCCTAGA